GAGACACAAAGCAATAAATATATAATATGAAATACAGCGATTATGCAACAAAATCGTTAAAGATAGAATAGCTTATAAAACACAGGCTAACAGTGTCTTCATATCTATAAATTGTATTCCGCATCTTCCCTCGACTTCATTTTCTAGAATGTCGTTTGGACCATTGCACTTTACACTTTTTTCACTAGTGATTGTGGATATGATTTAAAGGACTGCAACTGATCCTATAGCCCTTTTTATATTAAGTTCATTTTGTATTTTATGTCTTAATTAGATTTTATAGAAGTTGTTAGACCTTGTTTTAGCAACTTAGTCATAATGGCAGGAAGACCTAGAGAAACGCACCTTGTTCGGAGTCCATAGTATGCATGATACTTTCGAGGGTCGGACCGTGGACTTGGTATATTCCCAGATATTTCGTTGCCATCGTAGTCGGCATCGCCAGTGAGCCTTGCCATTCTTAGCACCACACTATAACTAGTCAAGTCAAGTCAATCCTTTGACCATATGTCTGTTAAACATTTGTGATATCTCTCCTGTAGTAGGCTATTCACCTATCCTATATTCTCGTAGCACCCTTTCAATATCAAAATTTCTTAATTGTTTATCTAAACCTATTTGAAACCTATTCATACTCCCCGCTAGTTTCAACGTCCCTTCCACTGTGCCGAGAGTGTCAATCCAAGGCTCAGGTTTAATCCGCAATTCTCTCTCTACGGGTCAGATCAGAGTCCCCCACTTTCTCCGTAAGATCCCTTATATGCCTGTTTCAGTGATTTCACTACATTGCTGCCATTGTGTTCATTCCACTCAAGGCGTTATGATCTACACTCTGACCCAACCCTTTGATAGCACGTATACACCAGCCTCACTGAGCAAGCCGCTAAAGTCTGGATTCTCAATTGACAATGGCTACACCCATATTATTTATATTTTATTCTCACTTAATCAATCAATGGAAGCCAGTTAAACTCTAAAAAATAGTTCAGGTCCATGGTCGTTAAAATTGGTGACACTTGACCATCTCCAAAACGTCTTTAAAGGTTCTGTAGATTTAATTAATTCTATCTTGAGAGCCCGTCTATAAGAACAGCAGAAAGACCTAAGCAGATGGTGCACAGGAAATACTTAAAAAGAACATTTTAAAAATTAATCGTCTGAGATAACCTAATAAAGAAAAATTAAAACAAAACCATAGGAAATTTAGAGACCTCTAAAAAATTCTAGCGTCCAATAAGCCAGGTAAACGTTTTTCTAGACTTGGCCAAAGGTGAACTTATTTGGCCATCATACCGTTTAGTCAATAATTACATGAATTTCACGTTTGTTTTTGGTTGCGTGGGAAGTTTGATTATGTTAACGCACTATAATTAAGACGGATTAACAAGGATTCATATTATCAAAGATAAAGAGGGTGAGTATTGTTTGTTGTATAAGCTAATCATGTGCAAATGATCTTTTATTTAAATCGTAGGTATGAAGGCCAAGATGCTATGATCTTATATTTAGTTTGTTATGAAGAGATCAAGGCTATTAGAAGAAAACTCTTTGGCTTAGAAATTTAGCATGTTTTCAGGATACTCTAAATAAAAATTTTTACATTTGAATGTCAGGTATAAAATAGCAGGAAAAATGCCCCTTACTAGATTACGGTGAGAATAAGATATTTATTCTGAAGCAAAATTAGGTCGAAGTTGCGCATGAACTGAATTTTTCAAGAAATTGTAGAGAACTCATAAATCACCTAACCGATTTTGCAGACTTTGTTAAGTCGTATAAAATAAAACTTCATTGATTGGTTATCATCCAAAGTGATTGCATAGCACCTCGATTTTTTCAACGAGGCACCGTGCCTCAGTGACACAAGAGGCTTTTGGCCAGCAATAACTAACCTCTGAAATGGATGGGGGTATAAGGGGCGTCGGGAGTTGAGTTGGGATATTCGAGTTGGCTTTAACGGCAGGTGGAGGCAGCGGCATCTGGCTGATCTGAGAAAATTCGACGGCATCTGACTCATTAGCCTCAATCGATTCCCAATTACCAAGACGCAAGCCAGGTTGATTGATAGGGAACGTTGGAAGGCGATGATCGACGTCTATTAAATAGCAAATGATAAAGATGGAAGCAGAATAAGCATAATACGGAAAGACTGTAAATGAAACTAAAGAAAGAGATGCCACTCATGACTACTCAGACTCGATTTAACACAATAAAAATCAAGTGATTTAGAGAAATCCTTTATGGGGCCCTGATCTGTTGGCACTATATCTTAAGTAAAATTACTAATTCGAATAACTCATAACAATAGTTTTAGTGAAAATAGTCTGACCTCGGTTTCGCAACGCGGTCCTGTTGTCAGAGGAACTTAGTTGGACGCACTTTGTCCAAAGTCATATGCTATATTAGATATCATAATTCCCAGTGTCGGACAATGTAATTAGTACCTCCCAGACGTTTCGCCGGCATCGTCAGTGAGTCATACCATACTCTGCTCTTGTTGAAGACAAGTGAAGTCCAAACCCTAACTAACCCTATGTCATCGCTCCTCTTTCGTCCTGGCCTCTCTATCTGCCCCCTATATTCTAACCTCAATTTCCCCCTATCACACATTCTGACTTGTTTATATTGCACTTCTCAAAAGATGCCCTTTTTGCCGAGTTTAGTGTGGCGTCATTACACCTGCTTGCCTTGCCCTCCTCACTCTCTATCTGTTGATGGGACTTACCAGACTTCCAGATCTCTCTCATGGGCCCGTAAATCTGTTTATCTTTCTAGTTGTCAAAATTCACTCAGTTCCAGTCGAAGTATACGTTTCAATTCAGGCGCTATTTATCAAGCGTTCAGTAGAACGTACACTGTCGCTTCACTGAGATGATCGCCTAGCCTCAACGGGTCATCTCCATGATTCAACCAGTGTATCCTGGGCAGGGCTGAATATGATAAAACTATCTGACAATAAGAAAGAAATGTCTGGGAATAAACCAACTACACAGTCCGACGCTGATAATTATGATAACTACTATAGCAGAGGACTTCGACATGATGCATCCAACAAAATAGCTCTGACAACAGGACCGGGTAGCGAAAAGTATTTCAGACCACCTTTATTCATCAAAAGTAGACTGTAGATAAAATAAAGACCCCAGCATCCTAGCCTTAATAATAGTTTTAATGCTTAATTTCATTATTTTACAGGTCATCATTACAAAATTGGAAATAAAGACAAAAAAGCTTGATACTCGTAACTCATAGTTTTAGTACGATTCTCAAAAGCACCAAAATAATAACAAAATTAAAGGCAAAATCAAACCGATACCTTTACAGGGAAAATCATTATCGCTATCCTCAGATTCGTCCATTTCCGGCCCTTCTTCTGGCAATTCACTGATTTCACCATCATGAAAAGGAATCGAAAAATTGTCAGATGGCTTTCTAGCCTCACCAGACCAAGAGTTTTCGACCTCAAGGCCGACCGGTTGGGAGTGACAGTTGATAGGTGAAGAGCCCGAGAATGATAACATTGCTGCATAAGTACGGCTATCAAAGGCAGTCAAAGAGGCATTAGGCCTGGCTTCTGGGGTCAGTGTCGGATCGATCGACGCATTTCCAGTTTCAGGGGCAGCAGCTGAAGCAAGGGCTGATTGTATTTTTTCATTCTGAAGGAGGAGCAATTGATTGATTAAAGACTGCTGGTCGGAGGGACCCTGGACATTGGCGGGAATCTGCAGTTTAAAAGGACGATATATAGAAGGAACGTAAATATTGGATATGATAATAATCGACAATTAACAGATTCACACATGTTAATGTTATGTTAGGAGCAGTCGGATCTTAGAGTTGAAAATAACTGCGGATCTAAAAATATAAAAACAACAGGTCTAAGAAGCCCTATTAATAAAATAAAAAATAAAGAGCTCTAGATTTGCTTACATTATAAATGAGTTGAATAATATTGAATTTTAAAAAGAAGGGTTTCGAAAAAAACTCTGAATATGATAATGTTGGCATACCTTTCAGTTAGTTTGAGGAGAGTGGAAGGCATTTCTAAGTTGGTCTCACCGGAAACCTAAGAAGGAATACCACTGTTGTTCCACTTCTTCCTCAGGAGAAAAGGGCTTGATTGGCCTCGAATCTGGTTATGAATAACAAACCTCGCGCAGCTTAAGAGCATTGCTTGCACACAACACGCGTGCAATGGAATGCGATCATAGGCGTCCACATTGCATGATAAAAATATAAAGGATTTGGGTGAGGATGCAACTGTTCGATCACATTTGCATTCGATTCAAACTAAATCTGCGGCCACCTGTCATGTCCACTACAGCCATTTCACTTTTTAGTAAGCATCTAGGGAAAGCATAAAATATCCTACCAATTCATGAAGACCAAGGAGACTGCGACCAAAATATAGATCACAAAATTTTGGTCTTCATATATACAAATCATGAGATGTCTTATTAGGTTGACAAAGTTAGTCTATAAGAAATAGGTTGGGTTGCAGCCAGCCACATTTTTTTATTTAGTGAATTATTATAGAGCATGTGGTCCTGCTCTGATGATGTCCGTCGCATAACGGAGTAAAGATCAGCAAAGATTCATCGGAGGCGCAAGGCGGTGCGCTGAGGACTTATTCGCACAAATCTAGTTATGACTCTTGCTTTGGCTTCCAGCGAAGCCAACTTATGAATCCATTCCATTCGCCTCTTCAAACTAAATAAAAGGTATGCATTGAATTCTGTCCATATCATCTGCAGGGATTTCTAAAAATGATCTTACCCGCTGTGAATGAATAAAGATTTCCTTAAGAGTACTTTAGGACCTCAGTAATAGAAATGTACTACTAAGAAATTTAATTGGGATTATAAACAGAAATCTACGGTGAAAAATTTACTGAGGCTTACATTAATAAGCATAAATGGATCCTAAGAAGAATTTTTGTACAAGTATCCTATACATCAACGCAATTCAAAAGTATATGGTGATGAGCTAAGATTAGGAGTTAATAAAGTTGAGCTACTTGAATGTAATTGCATTAGGTGTTCTTATAAAAATATATAAAGCATAATTATTATCAAATGTACTTGTTCTGTCTCCATTGAAAGGACCTTTGCGGTAGCAGAGGCAGCTGCTACTGCAGTGGCAGGAGGGAGGTTAGATGGATTCGTTTGAATGACATTATATCCCTCGGGAGGAGAGATGGCCTTGCAGACCCTAAGACATTGACCACCTAAATCAAAGCCATTCATGCTAGAAACGGCATCATTCGAGCTCTGCTCCGTTTCGTATTCTATGTATCCGAATCCGCGATGACGACCAAGAAGAGCAGGATCACTGAGTAATCTGTCAGATAACCAAAAATAAACACTAGACATTTCGAAGGATACATCTAAAAATAATAAAACGAAAACTGGGATCGCTTTTCCTATAAATAACGCAAAGATCTAACTCAATGC